GGGGGGGGGGCTGCAGCCACCCCAAAATTTTCTATACCCCACTCCCAGCCCCACCGCCTACCCTGAGAACAGCCCCGCCCTGGCCCATCCCCCTGCCAGGAAGAGCTCAGCACCACCCTGGCTCCAGCCTGCAGCAGCAGCCCGGCCACCCCCCTGAACAGATCTCGGGGCATATGCCTCGATCTGCTCCACACCCTTTCCCTCACAACAGACTTACCAGCCAGACCCGGCTGTTCTGCACGCTGCTGGGCCGCGCTCCTGGCCTGTGAACTGCACTGCAGTTGTGCGCAGGCACAGGGCATTTATCAGCAACATTAATCGGCCACGAGCCAAAAAAAGCTGATTCCCAATACTGTCAATTTTCCTTATATCGGTGCCAATACGATACAGGACTGATGTATTGGTGCACCTCTACTTGCAGAGGCAAATCCTCAACCATGTCTTGCACAGCATGTAATTCCAGAGAAAAGGGCTTTGTGTTTTCTGCCCATTTCAATGGCACATGAAACAAGCTCTAAGGACTCTGCCTGCATCTGGGGATTACCTCTGTTTCCAAGAAAAGAGCAACCTTACTAAGTATTTGTACACCTAGCAACCTTTAACACAAATGCTGTGCTGCACAAAAACATCAGAGACTAAAGCTTTCAGATAGAGTTTTGCTTAAGCGCTCCATCTGTGCAGATGTCCACCAATGTACTCATGTGCTCAAGTCATTATGAAAATACTCATGGTTCAAGCCATGTCACCGCCAAATGACTGAGTACTTCCAAGTTCCCAGAAAACAAAGCACTGGACCAGGAAGCAAGTCCATTCCAGATAAAACAGTACAGACCAGAGCTGGCACACTTCTGTGCGCATCCTCCTTTGTTTATTCCCCGCTAACAGGTAGAGTCCGAACTCTTTCTGCCAAAACAGCAGCTGTGCTAGACAGTGCTCCACAAGTGAGGGTACGTTGGCCAGAGCACCTGGAAATTGCTCCCATAGTTAACTAAACTCTGCCTCTTTGATAAAAGCTTTTATTCCAGGTTATGACCATAATTCTAAATGTCTGGAAAAAAATGGACCAGGAAAAAGCAAGCAAGCGTGCCAACTCAGATAACAAATTCACCAGCTGGTAAAAATAGCTTCAGCATGCCTCATTCAAGCTATGACACATTTTCACATGGCACAAGATGGTATCATTAAAACCACATTTTTTCAGTTCCACTAATGGCATGGGATGACAGCACTTCACATGGTATGAGAGGTTATATCATTGCATAGAATAGGGCAAGTTACTTAATGAGGTCCTCCTCTCATCAGATTATCAATGTGCCTAACCAGATGACTGGTGCAATTCTAGGTGCCTACAGAAACCAGAACTGAAGTAGAACTGACTAATAGCATCTCTCACATGGAGGGATGATTTGTCACAGGAACAGCCAAAGCCAAGCTCTCAGTTACTGGCAACACAGATCACATTCCCCAGTTAGCTGGTCACCGTAGTTTTAACGCTCCCAAACATCTCTTGCATGACAGGAGGTAGCGAACATAGGACTTCATGTCACTATGATATTCCCTGGGCATCAACTAACTGGATTTTCTCCTCTTTTTTTCACCTCTATTCCCACCTATTACAATTTGACCCCCATATGTACCCATATCCTGCCAACAACTCTACATGACAGCAAACTAGCAGAATAACACCATATCAATGTTCTTCAAGTGAAACTGCGTGTTACAGCAATTCACCAAAGTGATCACAACATCCCACTTAGGTAAAATATTCTGCACTTTGCACAACTGGCCACAGATACATTAGCAAGCCATGAGATTTGTGTGGTCAGACAGAAGAGAAAGGGGATTACAGGAATGTTCATAGGATATATTTGTAGAGGGCAAAACTAGAAACCAAATCTGCACAGAGCTGACAGAAAGCTGATTTCCAGCAAATGGCTACCGGACATTTGTTGAGTGGCTCTCTTCTTTCTACTGTCTAACTAACCTGACCAAGAATATTATATGCTTTTAACACTTAAGAAAATAGCTACAATGGCTAATGAATCAAAAGCCTATATCAGCTAAAAGATATGTTTAAGAATAAATGCCTCCTAAACTTCAGAAGGAGAGAAATTTCATGGGCATGCTTAGTTTGCATTATTGCTTATTTTCCTTTCAATCTGTATAATATAGGACTGAATGACTATTTTCCTTTAATATCTTCATTAAAGTACCTCCCCGGACTGTATTAACCTACTTAATACTCTATTATTCACATGTACTTAATCCTCTCCTTTTACCATACAGCTTGTACTGAAGTCTGACAACTGGAGCATCCATTTGTTGATACAGATGCGAGACCACCTTGCTTTCTTTTTAAGACACACATTTCTTTCAACCTGTCCCAGGGACTTCAGAGTGACTGCCTTGCATAAGGCTATATATTTTAGCAGGGAGTGGCATGCAGCAATGTGCAAACATTCATTACTTATTTCCAAATAAGTAGGGACAAGGTAAAGCTAAGGGAAGGATATATGGAAGTCAGGCATTGGGAGGGGTTCTATGATAAGCCACAGCAATATTTTCTTCCATGTTTACTACTGATTCAGCAGCCTTGAAACAAGAATTAAAGCATACCAGTCAGTGGATTGAAGGTCTGTCCATCACCAAAGCTGTTTCTCCTCCTGTCACTGCTAATTTAAGTATTTTTGCATCTTTTACTTTAAGCTACCTTCCTAACTTCCTATAGCACAGAGAGATCTCCCTGTAGCACCTCTCTTGCTAGTGAACACACAAAGGACAAGAGCCTCTGTTACATCATCAGAAATCTCATTTTCAGTACAAAGACCAATGGATTCTTCACTTACAGGGAGTTCAAACTTGGAAGCGACAGTTATAAAAACATACAACCCTGCTTCCTCAAAAATTGTAAAAGAAGAAAGACTTCAAAATGTTGGAGCTTGAACTTGACAGAGTGGGACGTGGAGTTCCCAGAACAAGGACAGGATTGACATGCATGCAATGCCATTCAAGTCCCTGCCACACTGGCCTGCTCTCCTCCCTTTGACACATCCCCAAGCATCCCAACAACAGAATGAAGCAGTGAAAGCTCCCCAAACCCTCCCTTGTACCAGACAGCAAAGGATTTTACTTTATTTGACCTTCTCTGCTCTATTCATTCTTTATATTGCATAAGTCTGATCTAGTGTTTCTCTCTCTCCAGTTCATATACCCCAGCAGGTAACTCTGCCAGAATGAAGGAAAAGAGCTAACAGTTTCAATTTTACTTGAGTTGTCCTTAGTTACGTGCATGTGCAGCATGTAGCCAAAGACAAAAATGCTTCCGTTTTTTCTTTAAAACAAAACATTTCACTTCCTGCTGCTGTCTGGACTACAGACATCCATCTCTTTGCCCTAAAATCTAGTATACACATTGCTGAGTGTGCTTTGCATGCTCCAAAACCTAAAGTACCTGTTACTCTGTTATTTAAATAAAACGTTAGGAGCTCCCAATACGGACAGAAGCAATGCTGCAAACAACAAAAAGAAATGAAAGAAATAGAAGAAACTAAAAGGTGTCAGAATAGAGTTCACTGCCTTATATGAAACAGCATTTAAAGCAGCGAAAGGAAGAACGAGGCCATATCTTGTTACAAGCATCCACAGTTAGAACACAAAAAACCAGGTACTTCTGCAAGATATGCTCTCTAATCCTCTCAAATAGCAGTAGGGAAGTCTAATGACTTCTCTGTGCAGGGACCACTAGAAGAGAATCAAGCAATTCCAGTACAGTTTTCAATTACAAGTACCAAGACTTATTTTCATCCAGGCACTATGTTCACGTACAGTCAACTGTCATCTCATAGCTGCCCTACTCACC